GAAGGGAATAATTTAAATATAAAGCATTTTAATTAATTTTTTACTAAAAGATTAGTAATAAATCATTGAAGTCATTTTTTTCTTTTTTGAACTTAGGTAGGGAGTTTTTGGGGGGTGGGAATTAGTAATCCCTGAGTATAAAATCTTAATACTTTTTCTTTAAAGGATATAGTTATTAGACAATTTAGTGTTGAGACAAATTCATTTGATTTAATTCATGGGTTTTGTGAATCCTCCTAGGAAAATTTTTTCAGAAGAGTGTTTTTTCATTGAAAAATGTCACTATGCGTAGGGAAAACAGGTTACACTAACCTTTATATGACCGAGACTAATCTTAATCCTGCAATTGCATCATAAGTTAGGGCACCTTGGGCAATAAGGGCTGCCTTCTTCCTTCTAACTTGAAACAATTAAGATTCCAACAGCAAAAATAGATTGCAGAAAAATTAGCTATTTTTATAATTAAAATGTGAGGAGTGATAAGTAGAAAATTTAAATATTCTTAATGAATTAATATATTAAAAATAATTGAAAATTTTTACAATAATATCAAGATATATTATTGATTTTCACTTTTTTTTTAGAAAAAATGGCAAAAAAAAAAAAAATCCTAATCAAAGTTCTTGAATGAATATTCACCTTCCCTAAACGACGTACAAACAATTTTTTCCCCTTGAACATTAACCACTAATTAACCTTTAATTATACACAAATTAATTTCCCCAATATATAAATTCCTCGTTAGCAAGTGTAGAACTCAACCAGCTCCTCCACGGACCCCAACTGAGCGCCATCATTCTCCAGCATCCACAGCAGGTGCTCGAACAACACCACCTCGCAAGAAACCACCACTTCCCCGTCGTCAATACCGCCGGACCGGTCCACAAGTTCTTGGAAGAGAGGGTGGCAGATGACTTCAGACCCCACAAGGTATCTCCGCCGTGACTTCCCCACGTAAACCGCATGGACCACTTCCTTAGGCTCAGAATCCACAGCCGCGATGGCCGCGCTACTGTTGGCCCGGCTGAGCTTCGTGAAAGATGGCCACCTTTTCATGGCTGACTTCAGCTTCTTTAGTTTCCCAACTTCGGCCATGAATTTTTGTGGGATTTTTGAGAAATACAAAGAGGAAGAGTATTACTGCCAAATTAAGCTTTGCTGCTGAGAGCTATGGAGACAAAAATTGAAGGGACCTTGTTATATAGAGGAATTAATGGGGGCATGGCAAATAAGCATATGTAAACATGGCCCACCGTTTGATGTACACCAGCTAAGAATGAGATATTTAGGCTGCAGAAGCCAGCACAACCTTGTTTGGTTTTTGGTGGGGTTACTTTTAATTTTTTGAAGAAACTTGATTTTGTGTGTTCTTACAAGAATGCCCTTGTCTATTTTTTTATGTGATTTTTGAGAGTACAATATAATTAGCTTTTATTCTTTACAAATAATAACTGAATGATGCACATAGCATCAAAGGAGTGAATTCATATCGATTGATGTACTTTTTGCTGAGTGAGTAAATTCATTATGAATTATTGTAAATCACTTAATCAAATTGATTGGGAAAAAAATAATTAAATTGATGATATGTAGCCTTGTATTCAATTTTTTCTGTGGCGATGGTATGTGCATCCCACGTTAATGAATCATCCGACCTCGCATGGCAAGAATCAGATTATTGCTCCCAATCCCATTGACTATTGCAACATATGATAGCTCCATCTTTTAATTTCCCTTACATCCAAGTGTTTCTTTTATAATCCTTTTCTTTTAGTAGCTTATGGTAGAAGTTGTTTAAACATACCACTTATTTTGCTCAAAGTATAAAAGAAAGATTTTTGACAATTTTCACTTTTTCTAAGTGAAGGAACTAGTTTTTAAAAATCAATGGAAGAATGACAATTGATTGAATGATTGTATCATCAATACTTTGACTAGATGATTGTAGCAAAAATGGGATTGTATTCTTGCATGAAGTTTCAAAAATAATTGTCTTAGAAAAACATTTGAGACTTCCCACATATATGGCCACATGAGGTTAGGTTGTTAAGTTGTAGAAACAAAAAAGATGGAGATGGAGCACATGATAGAAATAAAGAATGATATAAAACTAAGGTAACAAAAAAGGACTTTAAACTAAACGGTGCAACATAAATCTTAAAACTTAGCTAAAATTGTAAACTAAGAGTACTAGTAAAAATGTAAATCGAAGTTAATAGAAATGTAAAGAATTAGCTACCAACAAAAGTGAAATGAAACTAAGATCTTTACTTAAAAACTTAAGAAAAGCTAATTACAACTCAAGGCTAAAACATAAATTTGCTAATAAATTAGAAACCAAATTTAGGCAACTAGATAGAAATGTAAATTATTGACATAAATGTGAATTTGCTAGTAGAATAAAAACAATTATATTAAATCTAACTATTGGAGCTAACTTAACAAAAAATAATAGAAATAGAAAATCTGTTGAGCGAATTAATCTCTTCTACACTAATAAGAAAGCTGCAAGTTACTGTAGGAGCTATTTATGAACTAAATTAGCGTTGAGTTAGTATATGTTGAAATGTAGATGTTGTTGAGAGGAGTAGGCCTATTGGATTTTTCTTGAAATTTGTATTTATGAGTCTTCATAACTGAAGTTATTGCTGGAAATCTGGTTTGATTATGATTTTCTTCAATTGCCCTATTATCATGCTTGACTAAATTAAAGGAATCTCAACAACTTTGAATCCTTTCTTGCAAAATAGATTTCTACCACATGTTATTTAGTTGTTAGAAACAAAATTTTAGTTGCTAGAAATTCCTAAAATCAAGCTTGGAACCGATTCTGATTTTCATCAGCTAAACTAACTTATTCAGCATTATATTAGCAACTTCTTTAATTTTGAGAAACAACTAACCTTTTCCCTTTGATTTTTGCCAAGTGTTAAAAATTCATTGCACCAGAATCTCTTTTTGCTACTAACGGCATCACACCAAATCATGGTCATCGATCCTCTTTTGAATTTCCAACATTGTATGGAAAAATTGTGGTCATTGGATCTCCATTGAAGACATGTGGTATTATAAAAAAAATTGCTAAATATGGTGTAAACACCAAACATTTAGCATTAAAGAGGCTTTTGAAAGATCTTCTAAAATAGAATTTTGAAAGGATAATGGTTCTTACCATGAAATTATTTTTATCTATTATTAAATTATGTGAATTTATATGGGACTTGTATTATAATTTGGTCTTAAAAATTAGTCATAACTATCATTTTTTATTTTAAAAATTAGTTGGACCATCTCTTGTTAAACATTTCATCAACCAACCCATTTCTAAGATTTCGTTGAATCTATTTCTTGCTCAATCCTTAACATTCATTAAAATTCTTGAAATAATTAATGAGGAAAAAAAAGGAAAAAATATTGATGAAATGTAAGGGGTAATTAGGTAAAAAGAACCACAGTGGGGGGCATTTGCTTGTTCTTGTTTCTTGTTATAATCATCACAAAGCAATCAAAGCTGTTGGCAGGTAAGCAGTCACCAGTTCCACTTGTGAACCCAAATTGGTTTTGTTCGAAAACGAAGACAGAAGAGTCACGCAGACAAACTCCTTTTTGGTACTCACCTTTGTCTTATACTGTGCTTTTACCAATCTTGTATGGCACAAATTATATATAAAACTTCTAAAATTATGTACATCTGGTTGTGCATGAGAAAAGAAGGGACCCCCCTTGACCCCTTTCTTCTTTGCCAACCATCAAACCCTTGCTGTTTTCGTCTCAACTTGGGGAATAAATTAGGAACCAAAACTTTTATCTTAAGCTTTGTTTTGGATGATTGTACTTGGGTTTCAAGGTTGGACATGAACAACTTTTATTTCTTGGAATCATGATTAGTTGAATGTCTTAAAGGCAGTTGTTAATATTTTTGGTAATAATTCAATAATTAAGCTTTGATGGATCTCTCTAACATGGAGTTAGTATTTGGTAAAAAAGATTATGAAAAATCAGCATGTCTAGTAATTTAAAAAGTCAAAATTATAATGAAAAAATAATTATTTTTAATAAATCAATATGAAAAAAATTTTATTAAGAGTATTTAAATAATTTTACAAACAATTTTAACATTTTAAATATCAATATATTCTAATTTTTACTTTTCTTAAAAAAAAGAAAGTGGAACTAGTAACAATGACATCTTTGTTATTATGGAGCTTTAATTTTTAATGACATGTTGGGCAGTTGGGTGTGCATTGCCTGTGCATCTCTTGAGCAGGATTTGGTTAACAAGATTGATGATTGGGGGCCATCTGCTTAACATGAAACATGGAGGATCATTGTAGATTTGGGGGATTTTTGTCATGTGATTAGCGTGATATTTGCCGCTAATCATGGTGAGTTTCAGTCTTTAATTAGATGATTAATATTGTGAAGGCAGGCATATATTCTGTTTGAGAACTTAAGTAGACAGATAATCAAAGACAATTCTTGCTTGGTGATTCTGGTGTTGCATATATAGAGACAGAGCGCTCTTGTTGAGGCCAATGCCAAATTCAGTCAAGCAATAACGTGATTGGCGGCATGCTTGTTATTTATCCCAAGGCAATACAGATATAATGTTATCTCAAAATAAAATTTCACAAAAATTATGTCATTGAATGGCTAAGTGATATCAATTCATTTGCTTTACTGTATAAGAAGAGTCAATTATAATTAATGTTATATAAATTTATTAGACTTTAATATAGGATAATAGAAGGTAGAGTTTTAGGAAGTCCCAACTTGTAAGCTAATGTTAGGACGGTTCAATATTAGCTACAAGATGAGTAGAAAATAGTGTAGATTTTATTTCGGTCTTGTTTGTTACATGGTTGGGATTAGACCTCATGTTATTTTTCATGTTAAATGATTTTTACTTCTTTTTTTTTTTTTGTACTTATAATCAAAATATCTCTAAGTTAACTTTTGTGAACGTCAAGATTAATTTCTTTAAGCAATCTTAATAACGCATCATTCACATTAACTTAATAAATTTAAGTAAATTAATTTTTTTGAGTATTAATCTCAAAACTTGATTTATACACCTAACCTATCAGATGATATTTTTTTATCATTGAATCCAACCCTTAAGGTTATTCTTTTTTCGAATAAGACAATTCAAGCTTGTTATTAATTTCTACCTTGCATTCCCAATTTCATGGTAACCATAAATTTTGTTCCCTCATTTTGTTTGAATTACAGGTTACAGTAGAGCATGATAAAACAGTGATGATCGAGAGTAGCAGGAAGTGAAAACGTGAAGATAAGGAAAAAGGTTGCACGTACATCAGGTTGGACAGAAGAGCACCCCAGTAGGCAATGCGTCGGGTATAACAGCCAACTGTGAAATTGGTATTTTGCCTCTGGTGGTTGAGAAGCATCCTCCACCAAGTCTCCATAGCTTGTAGAAGGGTAGGCATGAGGCATGGAACTGCCTTGAATTTGAATCAATTGGGTAGCCTTGAGATTCAATGTGTCATGTTTGGATAGTTTAAGTAATCAATGTAATTTCTTTCGTCCCAGAACCTGTGGTTCCAGCTGTTTCTCAGCCAGAACTCGTAGTTCTCTGTGTTTTCATCAAATGCTGCCACAATACATGTTTGTATGACACCAAAAAATAATACAAGTTTGTATGTCAAGAAAACAGGAGAATACATTCTTACTGTCCCATTGATGGTTCGAAAAAATTCCACCTAGGTGAGGTCGAAGGCATGAGTTCACTTTGATGATCTGTTCTTCTTCTTTTGTCTGTTGGGTTTCTTCTTTGTTTTGGTTTCTTCCTCTTGAGGACTGTCCTCATTTAGTAAATGCTCGTACTCTTCATAACTTGCAAAAGGAGATGCTGAAGCCTTTTTACCAGATTTTCGTTTTCTTTTCCCTTGATGGAATCCATCCTCATCATTGCTAAGTTCATCTGCATCTCCAAGATCAACGGCATCATCATCATTAGCCTCATTGTCGTCGTCAATGAAATCCGCTTCTGTGTCTTCCCCTTCAGCAATATCTGAAGGGACATCTATCTCTGCATCACTGGCATCACCTACCAAGTCATCATCATCTTCATTAGCAACTTGGTCTAAATCATCATAATCATAGTCACCATCTGATTCCATGTGATTGGCAGAGTCCAAAATATTTTCGATCTCTTCATTGTCACTCTCATCACCACCTTCCACTTCTTCACTACCATCATCTCCCAACAATTCTTCCGCAATTTCATCATCTGTGGCCTTCTTCTTTTTCTTCTTCTTTGGTTTCTTTGAGGAATTCATCTTATTCACATAGAACTTGTGGAAAACAAGATCTTCTGGTGGCACATCGGTTTCAGCCAATGACAGAATCTCGGGTCCAATCAATTGGTTGTTCATCTCAAGCTGGAGAAAACATAAAAAGTAATGAAGAGCGTGATTAATCAAACAGCTAACAGACACAAGGGGACAAAAGCTCCACCTCAAAGCAGAAGGTTATTGAAAGTATAGTTTAAACTGACCTTCTTGGCAGGTTCAATTTGAGACCCACCATGCCATGAGCTTGTCTTTGGTTTCTTCTCCATGAACTTGTCTAGAAAAGCGGGAAGTGATAAGTCATTTAATGGGTTTCCATTGTAAACAATATTGGCCCCAGAAAGAAGGGTAGCAGCCATGGTAGCAACTGACGGATGCACATGAGTTGCCAGTACCATTAGCTCCCACCAACTAGCACGGTCTGCATTACTGAGAAAATGAAATAAACAAGGACAGTGAGAAAGCTCATAGCTTAGACAATTCCTTTGCATACAAGATTTGGGCTATTGATGAAGAAGATGATATAATAATGGTGGTGGTGGTGGTAATGACAGAAAGTAAATTACCAGTAAGAAGGTTCTCTGTGCCTTGGATTGTACCCTCCAGGCAAGGAAGATCTTTTAGGAAATACT